GTGTGGACGGGGGGCGGCTGGGAGGGAGGGAGCGAGGAGGGGCGGCATCTCCGGGGAGACTCCTGCAGAATGATGGAGAGATGACTTGGGAAGAACCCTCCACCCCCAACATAACCACAACAAAAATATATCACTACCTTTAGGTTGAATTCTGACTTTGAGAGACCCTATAGGACTTAGAACTGGCTACATGGATTCCCAAGACTAACTCTTTACAGGACTAGGAAGCCTCATCGTTCTCCTGTGGAGCTGCCGGTGGTTTCGAACTGCCGACCTTGTAGTTAGCAGCCCAGTGCATAACCACTGCACCACCGGGGCCCTTCAGGTACTCTACAAATGCTCAAACCCAAACTCACCACTACGGTGAAGGGGACTCAGATGGAACTAAGAAAATCTAAGCCAGGCATAGAAGACAGACAGGCAGGAGAGACGAAAACCTTAACAGGTAACCTTTTAGCAGATCTTGCCCTGGGTGGATTGCATTGTGAGTCACCCCTGTGCCGGCAGAAAAACCTGCTCCTGCACATTCAAGACCAAAGTGTGCCATCATGAGACTGCGTGCATCACCAACTGCAGGATCTGGGCCTGTGGTGTGCAGTTACTGGGACAAACACCTGTTTATTTTGGTGGTTTTTACAAGTTCAGTGTTATACAGCATTTGACAGGTATAGGCCAGCAGTTTGAAACCACTGCTGCTCCTCAGGAGAAAGACCAGGCTTTCTACTCCTGTAAAAAATTACAGTCTTGGGAATGCACAGGGACAGTTGTGCCCCATCCTGTAGGGTCACCAATGAGCTGGCATCGACTCCATGGAGCTGAGTGTGATTTTGGTTTGGTTCCCAGTGCTTTCTGTGTTTAAATTTCCCCTACTGGCCGTATCTTTCAGTCTGTTAACAAAAGGCTCATAGAAGATTGCGCTGTGAATACTCGTTAACCATAAAGATGTCTTCAGCCTCTTTCGTCAATAATGGATTTCTTGGGAGCACACTTTTTAAATCTGTAGTGCAATTTAGTTCAAGAATTTTGCTTTGCCTTTCATTCTCTATAGTTGGGATGCTGTGTATGACAGAGAACTGCACACTTTCCAAGAATATGGAGATGCAGGAGAAATCTGGTGAGTTACAGGGGGGCGTAGGGAGAAGAACTATGATCTAGATGGCTGTATGTGTGTGTGCATTTGTGTGTACCAAGTGCTATACCAACTCCAAATACACCAAGCTCTGCCATCGTTGATGCCCCCTAATAGCAACCCTGTAGAACAGAGTAGAACTGCTCTTGTGCCTTTCCAAGGTTGTCAAGCTTTGCAGGAGCTGAAAGCCTCACCTTTCTCCCGGCATATACCAAAGAAGTGCTCATATCAAAGGAAAAACCAACCAACCAGCAAGCTTTTGGACTGATTCTGACTTTAGTGGTAGATTTATAGCATCTCCCTCTCCCTTCTCTTTTGAAGACCTAGATTTTAATTAGTGTTAAGAAATTCCACCTATCTCATATTTGTCCTTCTTTAATAAAAAAATGTATCCACCAACATGCACAGATGTTAATATCGTTGTAGAAAACCTATTAATGAGTAGCATCTTGACCTTGTCTATTCTTAGAGGTTTTTTCATCTTAAGCAATAGACATGAAGCTTAAACAGCCACAGATATTCCTTCCTACTGTTAAAAAAAAAGACAATTAAGTATATGGTGCCTAAATAGAGTATAGTTGTAACTTTTGCTTATACCCTGTTGTTACTTGAGTACCTGATATTCTGTTTCCTAACAGGTTTGGAGAAGAGAGTATGACCCGGTTAATAAAGTGGATGAAAAAACAGAAGATCCCACTGGATGCTTCAATACTTGATATTGGAACTGGAAATGGTGTTTTCCTGGTTGAACTTGTTGGTACTTTTACTGTTTTTGAGCTAAATTTTAAAATGACAGTGCTAACGGTGTTGGGCGTCTATAGCTGAGTAGTGAAGCAGTGCTCCGTCTGAGTAGCCACGTGGTACAAAAAGTAGGCTGCGTGGACTGTGAGAGCACTGAAGCCAGGGGACCTGAGTCCTTTGCTGGGCTCCTCTGGCTACAGACCTGACCTTGGACAGCCACTGTTTCCTCTCGGTTTCAGCTCCTCCCTACGGGTTCTGAAGACATGATCTCTGTTGGCTTCCACTAGCTTAAAACACTGCACAGAGAAAGAAAATGGCTTCCAGTAGGACTCCTACACCATATCTTAGGGGAGCTCCTGAATGGAACGTGTGTTGCTCATGGCACTGAGTGTTGGTGCAGGTTCTCTTGCTTGAAACTGTCATTGTTGCCCCATTGTGTGCTCATTGCTGCTCTAGATGCCATGGAGGAAGGATAGCATGAAGACTTTATCCTAGAAGGTTTTACATCCTGAGAAGGAAGAATATAAGAAGTAAATTTTCATTATTCTTTAAAATTATTTAACTGTTTGATTGACATATAATTCACAAAATCATACAGCTCAATAGTTCTGTCATCTAAGAAGTAAAAATTTTAAACTACCAAAGTACCAAGTTGCTTGGTTTATTTTATATTGGATAGACTGATACATAAACAGACTATCTCTTGATGAGTATAATAACAGATGCATATGAATTATAGAAAAGGGAGCAGGTAGCTTCAGGAAAGAAGACCAGGGATTTTGGAAGAACTGTTCTTCCCAAATCCTTTCCTGGTCTTTCCCAAAGTTACCTGTTCTCTTTCAAAGCCAGGCAGTTGTTGGACTGCTAATCACAAAGTCTGCAGTTCAGTACCACCTGCTGATCCTTGGGAGAAAGGTGAGGCTCTTTGCTCCTGTAATGATTTAATGATTTACAGCCTCAGAAACTCTCTGTAGGGTTGCCATGAGTCAGAATTGACTCTATAGCTGTACACTTTCAGTCTGAGTATCCAAGTTGGGTGGAAATTGTGGGGCCAAGGTGGAGTGAGTAGTGATGGGGTGAAGAGGGAGAGAATTTCAAACATTGGAAACAAGGTCTAAAAGCATTAATGTAGAGAGCAGTACAGCATATTCTGGGGCCTATAAGGAATGTACTAATGCTATGGGCATTTCTTTTACATAAATATTTTAAAAAACATTTTTCTATTGGAAATTGGGTGTGGGTGGGTGGGTTACATTTCAGATCATCAGCTTTGGGTCAGTAGTCCAAACCACTGATCAAACTCCAGTAGTCACCTCCCACCCATTACATTTGTTTTTAGAATGCATATATGAGTGGATTTTTGTTGTATACCTAAGCATGGAATTTCTAGGTCAGAGCGTATATGTATGTTTAACTATAATTGATAAGCCAGACACTTCTCCCCAAGGACCATGCCAGTTTATATACCTTCTCACAGTCTGAACATTTCATTAACTCCACAACCTAGGCACTGCCTGTGCTACTGGACTGATTAAAATGTTTCAGCTGTTCTGATAGGTGTTCAGGAGTCTCTGGGTGTGGTACAAAGTAACACACTTGCTGCTAACTGAAAGGTTGGCGGTTTGAGTCTCCCCAGAGGTGCGTTGGGGAGCCCTGGTGGCGCAGTTGTTATGCATTAGGCTGTGATCCTCAAAGCCTGCAGTTTGAAACCACCAGGTGCTCCTTGGGAGGAAGATGGGGCTTTCTACTCCTGTAAACAGTTGCAGTCTTGGAAACCTACAGGGACAATTCTACCCTGTCCTATAGGGTTGCCATGAGTCAGAATTGACCTGATGGTAGTGAGTTTGGAAAGGTGCCTTAGAAGAACGTCTGCCATTGAGAACAGTATGTAGCCAGTTCTAAACTCGCTCGTTTGGGGCCACTCAGCTGGAATTCTCTCAGTGCAACTGGCTGCTGCCTACTGGTTTGGTCACTGTGTGGAGGTACCTGGTGGGTTTAGTTTTATTACCCAGGTGACTAAAGCTTGCTGTGCAGCATGTAGATAATTCTTTTTGAAGTGGTCATTCAAGATTTTTCTATCTTAAAAAAAAAAATTTGTACCCATATTTAAAATCCCACACTATCTATTGAAATGCCATCCCTAACCCGCTCTGTGACAGTGACTCCTGTCATGGATGGGTAGTGGTGTATGTTTGGGTCTGGTTTGGGAATCTCTGCTCTGTTCCTTTGTTCTGTTTGCGGCTGCTTGGGATACAATGCTCCCTTAATCACTGCAGTGCCGCTCTGTAGATCTTCACGTTAATTAGCATGAGCTCCCTAACTTTGACCTTTCCCTGCTGTGGTCTTGGCTATTGTTAGTTACATCTTTGGACATTTGCTTACATTTTAGAATGAGTACCACGTTCTAGCAAAAAAAAAAAATCTTCGGTTTTTGTATTTGGATTGTGTTGTATCTCTTAGGGAGAATGTGCGTCGAATGATTGCACTTTGGGTCCACTGGGCGTGTAGTTAGGTCTTTGAGTATCAAACAGTTATAGTCTTAGAAACCCACAGGGGGTCACTCAGCCTCCACTCAATGGCAGTGAGTTTGGTTTGGTTACAGATCTTATCTTTTGTTATATTTATTTCTAGATGTTTGTTTTGTGTGTGAGTGTGTGTGTGTGTGTGTGTGTGACAGAGAGAGAGACACACACACAGATAGACAATGGGAGAATGTGTGTGTAAGAGAGAGAGATTATTGTTAGGCTTTTAAGATTTTATTTTCTTTTTAAAATTTAATTTAAGTATAATTAGCACGGTAGGTATAGAAGAAAAGCCACTTAACTCACACTATATGGGTTGAGGTCAGGTGGGGCTAAGACCAAACTCAAGGAGGTACATATTATTCCAACACAAAGAAGGGGAAAGGGGGGAAACGGGAGGGAGAAAAGGGGTGGGGTGGGGAAGGGAGACAGTGGCACCGGGGGAGAGTACTGGTTATGTGTCCGCAGACTAGAGTGCCTGCAGACCTCACCACGGTGCAGCAAACCTGGAGGGCAACGGTAACCACGTGGAGCAACACATGGTTTGTTAAAATGGGAAATTTAAAAATTATTTTGTATTGACATATTTTATTCATTCCAATGTATCCATTCACATACAGTTCTGTTGTTCAATTCCATTGGGTGGGGTTATACAGTCATCAATGCTATCTCTACCCCCCCCATTTTAGTTTATAATAGTTTATTGCTAGTATATGGAAGTGCCACAGGATTTATTAATGCTTACCTTGCATAAGTGAATTCTAATAATTTATAGATTCTTTTTTAATTTTCTCATAGTAATATCGTGGGCAAATAAGCTTTAGCTTTTATTTTCCAATCTTGGTGCTTTGTTTATTAAATACTGTTTCAAAGACTTGACTGTGATGTTGAACAGACATGGAGAGGGCACATCACTTACGTTTCTGACGTGCCTGCGATCTGGGAAAAACTCATGTTTCACTGTTAGATTTAGCTGTTGGTCTTCACAGATAGTTGACAGTTCACAGTTAGCAATCAGTCTGTTTTCAGTTTTAAGAAGTTCTGTGCTTGTTTTTATTACTTTTCATACTTCCTTGTTGTTATGTGCTGCTGAGTCAGTTCCGACTCGTGACCCTAGTGACCCTTGTGCAACAGGGTGAGCCACCGCCTGGTCCTAGGCCATCCCCACATCACTCCTGTGCTCCAGCCCAGGATTACACACTGTGCTTTTAATTTGTTTTCCTTCTCTTTGTTTAATTTCTTAAAATGAAGCTTAGTTATTGATTTGAGAGGTTATGACTGTGAAAATGTAAAACTGTGAATGGGGTTTGTTTTCCTTTGAGTATTAATAAGCGAGAGTTTTATATCCAAGAGTAATTGTATATTGAGGAAATATCCCAGCCCAGTCCAGATCAAGCCCTTAAGTCAGATAGTAGCACACACATCTGAGACTAGTCCATAAGCTCCTCTTCAGACTCACGCAGCGCATGCAATGATGTCGAATGCAGGAAGATCACAGGGCAGTGTAGGTAGAAGGTCTTGTGGATCCAGTGGCAGTGGAAACATCTCAACACTGGCACAGGTCTCCTCCGCTCTCTGAGTATCTCAACAGCAGGCAAGGGAAGGCAGAGCAATACAGTTCATTTTTTACTTGCAGTGAAAATATTTTTCAAAAGCTTTTTTTTTAATTCATGGATAATGAGAGTTCTGTTGTTTAAGGAGATTTTTCTATTATCTTTTGTTTATGGCATTACTAATCTAATTTGATTTTGCTAGAGAACATACTTGGTCTGATTCCAGTTCTTTTAAATTTGTTAAGGCTTGTTTTATGACTTAGGGTATGGTTTATCTTGGTGGATGTTTCATGTGTACCTGAAAAAAAAGTGTATTCTGTTTTATAAAACTTAATTAGACCCAGTCGTTTGATTGATAGTGTTCAGTGTTCTATATGTCCTTGTTGATCTCCTATCCAGTGAGTAGTCTGTTAGTTACTGATAGAAAGGTTTTGAACTGTTCAGTTATAATTGTGTTTTTTGTCTGTGTGTTTCATATTACTTTGGTCAGTTTTTGCTTCAAATACTTTGAAGCACAGTTATTAGGTCCATGTATGTTTAGGATCATCATTAAAAATGTGTGTGTGTGTGTGTGTGTGTGTGTGTGAATTGACTTTTTTGCATAATGCCTCTGACTGATAATTTTTTTTGTTTGAACTTAACTTTTGCTGATGTTTATAAGATCTTTTAAAAATTGAGATGTAATTCATGAACTGCCAAATTCACCTTTTATTTTTATTTTTT